GGGCGCGCGGCGGGGGCAGCCTGTCCGCCCATCTGGTTGCACTTAGGAGCCGGGGAGGAAGCTAGGAGCGGGTTGTTACCGGCCAAGGGGTGTGGGAAAAGTTAATTGACTTTAATGACAGGTTTCCCGGGACGGTGGTGACGACCAGGGAGTCCAGCTAAACCTCTGGGTCCCCATTCCAGAAACGCGTGGGGTGGGATGGGGCGCGAGGAGGGGCGAGCCTCCGGAGTCGCGCTTCAGCGCTTGGAGAGGGCGCTCGTGTTGACCCAGGAGCACTCCCACCCGCTTCCAGTTCGGCGCCTTTCCCGCTCCGGATGCTGCTGGAGACGGCGGGGGGCCGGGGCCCCGGAAGGGCTCCATTGAGAGGCTAATGCGCGCGGCAGCCGAGGCCCGCGGCCCGCATCCGGACGCAGTTTGGAGCTGTGCCTTATCTCCCGGAGCGATCAGCACCGCCGGGGGCCGGCGAGAGGGGCTGCTGGTGTGCCCGAGGCCGTATAATTAGGCCAGGCCTGAGGGACCCCCAGGGAGGCAACATCATTGAAGTCGTTTTTGAAGTTTCGTGTCTCTCTCAGCTACTTACTCCAGACACAGCCACAGTGCAGGAGGGTGCAGCGTCTTAGAAATAAGTCCATTCGTCTTCCAGACTTAGAAATGACCCGGAGAAGGGAAATGACTTTTCCAAGGTGACACAGTGACTTTGGTGGCATAGCTGGAGCAAGAGCTGGGAAGTGTCCTTTCCGGTTTGGAGACTAGTGGGGTTTCCACCCTCTCCCCTTATTGTAACAGAAAAAATCCTCATCGAATAGTCTAAACCCAGCTTTCAGGGGGGAAAACGTGCTGTTTTCAAATCACCAATTATAAAAACAAAACAAAACACAGATGTGTATTTTTCCTTTGATTTAGTCCCCCTCCCTAGGAAGATATCTATGTAGTCTCGGTGATATTAATAAAAATGCACTTTTAAAATTGTTCCCCTTCAACATGGGGACATTTAATTTTCAACTGGTGTTGAGATTTTTTTTTTCCTGTGATTTTTAAAGACATCAATGTAAAAGGAATTCCTTGTATAAAAATAAGACATTGAGGTCTGATTATTTCTAGCAGGACAGTTAAAGGCTGCTAGTGGGGCCAGAGGACAGATTTACCAAATGAAACACTGGTGATTGAGTTGGGTGTCTTAATGAACAATTGTTATTTTGTTTGTTTCAACAGGAGGGAAAACGTGGAAAAATGATAAAGAAGGGTGTGTGTGTGTTTCTTTGGCGGAAGGTGTGTTGGACACCTTTCCTATACACAAAATAAGGCAAAAAGGAGACAAATTCAAAAAGGTCTCTTTTAAATCTCTCCCTCTGGGGTGGAAGCTGGGTCCGAAGGTATCTTGAGTGGAAAACTGCTGTCTCCTGGATCATTCCCGTGATAGAGCCGCTCTCCACACTGGCCTGTGGGAAAGGCCAGAGCAGGGCGGGGGAGAGGTAAAGCTTTTGAAACAAGACAGAAAATCGTTGGCTTTATCTTTGTTAGGAAAGCTTCAAAGATTGATCTCTCCCGCCTCATCCTTCTCCTCCCAGAAGCCGGTCTAAGAAAAGGGGGGTGAGAGGAGGCTGGCGGGAGGGGCCAGGGCGGGGAGGAGGACTGGCCGGCGGTGGGGGAGGAGGGCGCGCCCGCCAGACCCACAGCGCGGCTGATGTGTCTGGTCTCGCAGGGCTCGTGGTTTTCATTTCCCCAACACCTGGATGCAGTCAAACACCTGGCCAAATCTGACAAAATCTGACAAGCCTTTGTGATGGGATTTGGAAGAAATTCCCTGCAGATCCTGGCACAGTTTAAAGCTGTCCGCTTTGAGTTAGGACTTGTTAAGGAGGGTTATGTGAGCTGAAACCCGAGACAACCCTTTCGCTTCTATCTGGAGCCCACATCTCGCCTGGAAATGGGGCATGACCAAGCGAAGGGGTCGCTTGCTGTTTGTATTAAAAGGGGAAGATGGCCTGTGTGCCTGCCAGCACAGCTCCCACATGCTTTCTCTATTAGAGCCAAGCACAGAAACTTATCAAAAACACATGTCTGGTGTTAATCATCTGGGCTCAGCCTCCACTTGGGAGTCTAACTAACTGTCCCTTGGCAGAAGGAATCTGTTGACCTTTTCAGCTTGCTTGAAGAGGGTGCAGAGAGGCATTTCAAACTTTTGGGTGCTAGGGAACGTCTTATTTGAACCAAAGGACTGGCTAATTAATGAAGACCCCAACTCTTGAAGGAGGCGCAGCAGTTGGAAGTGTTTTTGCTTTGGATGTCGGTGAGCTACCCTAGGAGAGGAGAGCTGCAGGAACCACCCTTAACGTGCAATGGGCAATAGGATTGGATCCACTGACTTCGTGAATTTAGTCCTGTTCGGTCTTCCTCAGGAGGCGATAGAAGAACAAGGGCTGCAGACTTACCCGACTGCAACTTAAAAACAAGTTTTTGGAAATCCTTTAAGAGACTGACCACAAGTTTATCAGGGAGGCCTTACCAGATGGCTGCTTGTAAAGTAAATGGAATTTAGTCTTTTTAGTTCACGGAGGATTGGTGAAAGGTTTGATGGATTTTTAAAAATGTTCTTTTAATAACAAAAGAGTCAATTCTTGAATTGACTAATTACATGTAATTCAAATTCCACTAAGAGCCTTTTTACATATCCTGGAAGAATCAGTTCTAAGACATAAAAGCCTTTACTTTTTTCTTTTATTATATTTTCTCAAATAAACTTCCCCAAAGGAAGATATTTTAAGAGCATTTTCAAACATCTTTGGCATCACATAAAAAAGAAATCTCGTGTAAAAAACGAAATGTCATCTGAGCTTTTATACAAAGGCGCAATCCAATATGAACATATAAAATATATACAAATATAGTGCATGGTCAGTCACTTAATACAGCTCTCTCTACAAAAAGTAACTTTTTAGAAATTAAAAAAACACAAAGTAACCACTTAATCAAAAAAGTCCTTTTCTCTCCCAGTATTCAAGTTCCTGTTTACAGTCCAGAGGGAAGAGAGGTCGGTTGGGGAGTTTAGGAGGAGGGGTGGCCTGAGCCCCCTCAGTTCCGCCACGGCCTCCACATGGAGTCCGCCGTAAGCGAGGGGCCGCTGGAAGGTGACACTGCGTTGGGGCCCACGGAGGTGCCACTGTTGCTGGTGTAGACCGGGATGACAGGGCCGCTGTGCGCGAAGGCCCCGTTGGGAATGAGGAAAGCAAACTGGCCATCGGGAGCCGG